GAAACCCTTGGTTAGAATTCCAATAATTTTTGATATTTTGCAGGTTATATCATTATGTTTCACCCAAAAAAAAATCAAAGAAATTAAACGACAGCAAATTTTTGGTGTCGCCTGTTGGGTACCACCTTAAGTTTTATTATTGTCGGTGTATCTCTTTTGAATTTTGAATTATTCGAATTACTAAGGATTTTCTTCCCCAGAAATAAAATGCCTTGCTGTATTTGAAAAAAAACTTTCAGAATTGTGGGATTTCAATGCTCTTCAACTTTGTACTTTATTTGGCCTTTTAACTTTTTTTATTTGAGCGCACTGATTAATCTTTTGTAAACGAAACGTGCGTCTGGGGTACAAAGTTTTAATCCTGGTATCTTTGATGATTTTATTTAGAATCTTGCTTGAGAATGGTGTTTGTTTTACTATGAGCCAATTATCGTATATAAAGATAACCATTTATAAATTTGCTGCCTCCGAAGCTATTTTGCGAAGTGTAAGATTTTCTTCTCGATATAGATCTTTGATCTTCAAAGTTCTAACGATGCCATGTATACCAAAATGCGGTCAGTTTACGAGCTAAAGAAATGTCTGAAGGCGTTTGTATTTAAATCTTTTCTTTTATATTTCAGCACTGTATCTTCTGGTTTGAACTCTCTGTCAGCAGTGGTATTGCAAGATGTAGTCAAAAGTTATTTTGCTCCAGATTTGTCAGAGGAAAAAGCTACAATGGTTTCTAAAATCCTAGGTATTTTGATATAATTTGTCTCATGTGCAGTGGTAAAGTAAACAGAATAGTATATATACATATTGTTTTGATAGTTTGTCGCTCGAGTCTAAAATATTACAGATATGATTATCATAGCGACAATGTCATGGTAATCTTGATAAATTGATCACTGTCTAAAAACAATATATGGTTTAAAATTTAAAATTTAAAAGTCCAATGCAAGTATGTACTTGAATACATATCGAATATTAGGTCAAGATTTATTTGCTCATTGTCACTAAACTGTAATTTAAAGCATGATTACAATGCAAAATATATGATAAAGCAGGTTACATAGACATGTCATCTTTAAATGCATTTTTCACGTGAAGAAAAAAACAATTAAAAATTTGTAAATCGACTTTCCATTGTTTCGAATGAACAGAATTATGATATTGTGATTATCTTAGATTTAGAAAACAAATGTTTCACGAATGAGATTAATTTTGGTCTATTCCTGTACACCTTCGTTTGTTACCTTGATTTGTCTATTTTTAATCGATTTACGAGATTAACATCGATAAAATACTGTAACCTAAATTTACCTATGCTTTGCATGGGGCGTTTTTCTAGTTGTCAACAAATGTACTTCATTTTGCAATCTTGTGAATGTTATGATTGTTCTGGTGTATTCTGCTGCTCTTTGAATTACAAATTAATTCACACAGGGTCTATGTATTTTACGTTTTATTTATTCTACGTCTTTTATGGGATTGGTGCATACAAGTCAGTAAAACAGTAAAAACTGCAGAAAATATTCCTTCGCAATTTTTTTTTACTTTTCCAAAACATTTCGCAGCCCATTTTGAAATTTCTAACAAAATATAATGACATTCCAATAAAATTAAAACCGCACAAGTTATGCAGTCATTATTAAATTCAGATCAAAATTATAACAAACACGAGTAACATGCACAGTGTAACCTAAATTTATCACGTTTGGTTTTGGAACAAGCCTTGTGTATTTTATAGAAATATATCTGATTATGTTGATTTGTTGTTCTTTTCAGTGTTCGTTTTCGGTGTTATCTGTTTGGGATTGACGTACGTAGCATCACTTTTAGGTGGAGTTTTACAGGTGAGAAAATTAGTCATACATATAACCGTTGTAGTGGTTTGGAATAGACGAGAGTTAATACTTTACAAATACATGACGCGCTTCAAACCTGACAGGGGCCTAAAAAGCTTGTCAAATCAGCCTTTTCTAATACAATGTCAAATTTACGTCTTGTTGATATTAATTTTGTTTTATTCAAAATATAAGTAACAAATGATTGATTACTATGCTATTGGTGTATTTGAAGACTAACAGTTCACCAACAGTGTAAATCAAAGTAACATGTATCGCTGCTTTCGGTGTCAGTTCTATAATAAGTATCGGTGAGTGTTAAAATTTCTGACTAAATGCTTTCAAAATCAATTTTGTATACTTACTAGTAGTTCATAACGGAACATTTTCAAGCACAGGGTGCCAATATGACGAACAAAAATGTTCCTTTAAATAATGTTATTTCCTGACTAAATCTGATAGCACCCACTATATAAATTCACTCACCTGCATCTGTTAAAAATGTCATAATGTTAATTTCCCATTTCTAAATTATTGGAAATAAATAGATCATTATAAATGAAAAAAAGGATCATTATGTGTTGTAGGCTGCACTGTCTCTGTTTGGAATGATTGGTGGTCCATTACTTGGACTCTTTATTCTTGGAATGATGTTTCCGTGGTCAAATAAGTGGGTACGTAAAAGTAAGAGTAGAAGGTAAGCTTGGGGCCGACAGTCCACCAGCTGAACTGACCCAGCTTTGAGTTATGTAAGCGTTTGCGGCGTATGCCAATGCTATTTATAGGAATGATAAGTGATTTTCATCATAGAAACTATTGTCATGTGACTTGCACTCCATCATTATCTTCAGACTACTGGTCATCACAATATAATAAAACTCAAGGCTTATGAAACTTAAAATAAAGGCAACAGTAGTATACCGGTGTTCAAAAGTCATAAATCGATTGAGAGAAAACAATTCCGGGTCACAAACTAAACCGAGGGAAACACATCAACCATAAGAGGTAAACAAAGGAACAACAGGAACGCTGAAGTGCAACAAAATCAAACGCCAACATACATAGAAACGAACTATTTGATAACAACTGCCATATTCCTGACTTGGTACAGGACATTTTAAGTTATTGTTTTTATCAAATTTGAAAGCAAATACAAGTATTTTATTTCAATTAAGCAAAATCCGAATCCATCTGCTAACCTTTTCGGAGCACCTGAGATCACCCCCAATTTTTTATGGGTTTGCGTTGTGCGCTCTTTAGTATTCTAAGTTGTGTTTTATAGACTGTTATTTTTCTTTTTTGTCGTTTTTCGTATTTTGCCTTGACGTTGTCAGTTTGTCTTCGACTTATTAGATTGAATTCCCTTTGGTGTCTCCCGCCTCTATTCTCTATAAAAAGTCTGAAATTTTTTTTTTTAACAGTTTGAGTATTAGTATTTAAGGTTTGGAAGAAATTAGCTTTTTTTTGTATAAATCATTGATTTTGTTGAATAAATATAAGTATTTTGTTCCAAGTAAAGAAATTTCCGAATGTATCCAAATTCTATTAAAAAACTGTCGATAATTCTAGTGTTAATATTTTAGATTTGGAAGACACGATCCCTTATTTTTGTATTCGTCATTCTTTTTGTTGAATATTACATGATAATATATTAGTGCTGTACTCTTGTTTATATTATTATACAATAATTATGAAACCAGAAATTGAAAATGCCAAACTCTGATATAGTATTTACATCGTTGCATATGTGTCCAAGATAATTATTTTCAATAAGAACTATAATTTTATACAGATATTATAATTAACATAAAGTTAGAATTATTCAAGTATTTAAAGTATTGATAAAACACCATGAGTTTGATACAATATACTATATTATAATAACAACCAACTGTTTCTTTATTGCACACGGTGACTTTACTGAGTATATATTTTATAATAACGAAAAAAAGGAGGAAGGGGACAAATTGATTTGTAAACAAACACATCTGGTCACATGGCACAATAGAAAATATGCATAGAATGTTCACAATCTTTTTAGTTGTTCATGTTTGTGTTTACTGATAAGACTATTTGTTGAGCAGAGCATTTTATGTGATTTAAAAGAAGTAAAATGTGTGATTATTCTACAAATGATTGACAGGGAGCATATACAGGATTACTAAGTGGACTTGTGTTTATGTTTTGGATTGGTGTTGGTGCTCAGATACATAAACCAAAGATACCAAAAGCTCCAGTGTATACCACCGACTGCATTTGGAACATTACTACAACTGCTATGTATAACGCATCGACAACTGCTATGCATACTACATCGACAAATGCTATGCATATTACATCGACAACTGCTATGTATAACGCATCGGCAACTGTAGCAGCAACAGCAGATGACAGGTGATATTTATATTTTTTTCGAAGTAAACAAACAATTACAATCTAATGTATGGTGATTATAATGTTATATTCTGTCACTGTGTTTGTCAAATTTGTTGGACTGAAATCTAAATTTTCAAACAGCACCATAGTAAAAAGTAAAAACACAAAAATTATCTCCTTAATATCAAATTCACTGGAATATATATAAACTCATCATAGATACCAGAATTAAACTTGTGTACGCCAGACGCGCGTTTTGTCTACATAAGTGACGCTCCAATAAAAAAAAGTTAAATAGGCCAAATAAAGTACGTATGAAGTTGAGGAGCATTGAGGACCCATAATTCTGAGAGGTTTTGCCAAATACAGATAAGGTAATCTATTCCAGGGGTATTTTTCTTTTATTTCGAAAAATTCAAAGTTTAATTTATAAGTATGACCATATCAATGATAATTCCTGTCAACACAGAAGCTCTGACTACTATGTAAGAGATGTAAGCGCTCATTGAAATGTTGGTTATTGAGTGAGAGAACATCATCAATATATTTGAAAGTGACATTAAAGAACTTTTCAAAATGCTTTTTCTTTTTGTCTTAGAGAAAGTTTTGTATGAAATTTGCTTCATGTAAGTATAAAAACAAATCGGTCAGTAGTCTTGGACAAATAGTACCCATTGGAATACCGACTCTCTGCTAAAATTTTGTTGTAGATAAAACATTCCATCATCTTCGGTGTATTTGTTGTGGGAATCCGTGTAGTTCTTCACGAAATGATTTTTGTTCTGACCTAAAACAAGGAATTTGCATCTTCTTTTCCCATTTTTGTAAATAAAAAGTTCTGTTTAATCAGACGATGTAGTCGATCTTTTAATTGATCATGGGGTTAAATTACAGTTGATTAGTTATTTGGGTTAAAATCCAATAAGCCATGATCGATGAAATTACAACAATGGTGGTTAAGTCTTCGAATCCTGTCTCACCATAGTTAATCTATATATTACAGTGATCCACTGCAGAGACTTTATGATTTATCATACATGTGGTACAGTGCGACAGCCGTGTTAACTGTGTGTGGGATTGGTTTGATCGTCAGCTTTATAACAGGTATAAGTCTTTAGCTGTTTTGGTAAAGATTTGTTTTTATCATTTTATATAAACTTCAAACATTGAAGGACAATTTGTTAGATTTTGTCCCCGAAACTGATGAAACGGGCATATGGCGTACTAAATTATAAACCCCGTATGTTTGATGGTTTTTGTATCATGCCTAAATATGTTTTGATCGAACGACGAAACAGCTATTAAGACGTACTTACACTTCTGGAACTCCTTCACCCTAATCATTATTTAGTGGGATTGGTCTTGCTCAATCTTTAGTTGTATGTATTACGCCTTTTTACTCTTTTCCACTCTATCGTTTGTTTGATTGCCGAGCTTTTGAAGTTCTTCTTTTTCACCCTCGTCATATCTATAGTGTTTGAGTCTTCATTCATATTTTTTTCTAAATTGGACAATTTCTTCCAAGATATAGGTTTAGAAAAGTAGATGTAATGGACAGAGGATGAAGAACAACATGTTGCTATATCTACTAATAAAACTAAGAGCTTGCAGAGCATTTTAAATATTTGAAATTTAAGGTGGATCATCACAATATATTTCCTCAGATATAATTTTCTCATAGTTTGCCAAAATGTAGATTTTACCATGCTTTTTTTTTCAAAAATATAATAAAAAGTAATGGGTCACCGTGCTATTTTTCAAGCTACAAGCTGAGCAATATTGCATATTTTACATTTTTGCATAAATTATTCATGAAAAAATAAATTCATGAGATTGATTTTTGAAATAAAATATGAGATGATAGGTTTTACAATCTACTTTAAGAAAATAAAAAGGAAATATGGTGTCACCGAACTTGTTTTCTTGCTATAAGTAAAAAAATGAAAATTTCATTAACATTTCTTTATAAAATGTTTACTATAAGAGTTATCTACCCTAATATTGCTAAGTAGAAAATTGAATCAATTGTTTTAAATAAACAGTTTTACACATTAATTGCCAATATGTCTCAACTTGCAGATTTAAGCAAAGAACTAGACCGATTCTGTACTGCTATTTTACAATTTAAGATGGCGGTATACACTTAATCTATCTTAAAAGGTCACGAATGGAGAAATGTTGCATCTCACTTATAAAAAAGATTGGCACGGATTTTCCGTGATTTCATCTGAAATGAAAATGAGTGGCGACATATTGTATCGTGGTTGAATTAGTTTCTAGTGATTTTGTGACGATATGAAGACAAACTTGATCTTTCTTTTTCAATGATCTGCAAAAAGAGTGTGTTCCATCTATTTGACGTCATCTTGCAGTTTCGTTCACAGCGAATTTTAATAAAAGCTACGAAACTATCTATATAAAAAAATGATTAGCCGTTTATGAAAAGTATAAATCGGCTAAGAATTAGAGAGAGAAATATATGTTACATATTTACTTAAAACAGACAAACAGTTATTATATGTTAATGGTTTTGAACTTTACATTTAAACAGGTCCCACAAGAGCTGAGGATCTAGACCCTAAACTAATATGTCCATTGTTCGATATTTTATTTCCGTATCTACCAGAGAAAATAAAAAAGCCAATGCGGTTTGGTGTAAACCATAAAGGGGTATGTTCAATTCATGAATTAAATGTAGAATTGCACGTTCTTTTTGTTTTACAAATGCTATAGAATGCTGAAAAAGTATAAAAAAATAGCAATACAGAATTAATCAAATTAATATCTACAATCTTTTCTCTGCATTTTTATATGGTAAATAAAGGCAACAGTAGTATACCGCTGTTCAATAGTCATAATTCGATTAAGCAAAACCAAATCCGGGTAACAAACTAAAACCGAGTGAAACACGTCAACTATAAGAGGAAAACTACGGAACAACAGAAACACTGAACTACAACAAAAGCAAACGCCAACATACATAGAAGCGGACTGTAGATAACAACTGCCATATTCCTGACTTGGTACCGGACATTTTAAGAAAAAATGGTGGGTTGAAACTGGTTTTATGGCTAGCCAAACCTCCCGCTTATATGGCAATGTTAAAAATACCGCTAAAATGACAAACCTACGTGACAGGAATACAGTACAAACAAACACAAGAACACTCAGCACAGAGAAATACATAAATAAATAATATAATAGTGCATTACAACATGTAAACCGCAGAATAACGACGGACACCTCAGAACACCACAAACGAAATATAAACTGCGCGTCACATAAATTGATCAACGTCACAAAAAGTGACGTATTTTTTTGTGACGTTTATATTATCACAGGTAAATTTCTAAAAATAAAATAGATTTGTTTCATTCATTGACACGTACAAGAATATTAAATTGTGATTGAGTTTGTAATGGTGTTATGTTATGTATTTTCTAACCATGACAAGAATATTAAAATGGAATTGTGTTTGTAATGGTGTTATTATTTGTATTTTCTAACCATGTCGGTGTTTCTTCTAAATCAAAACTGTGTATAAACGAAAAAATCCTGTGCATATAGTTGCATTAAACTTAAAATCATATAAATGAAGTAGCTGATTTTTTATCTTAACTTTTACATACATATAGAAAATAAAAATAAAAAAACTGTAATATAATGCAAGATCATGTAAGACCAAACAGTAAACACACATGAAAACAAACAACATAAAACAAAAACCCTGTAGACGAACTACGAGTAACTCGACTATACTGACAAATAAGACATATGTGAAATGTACCTAAAATACAGAATTCAAACCAGAACGAAATAAACAGACAACAACTTAGCACAAAATGACCCAAATGACCCACCGGACCCACACGTATAAGAAAGTAACAACAAAATGGCCGAAAGCGGGATAAATAAATACCGAACCATGTCGTCTCCAACAGCGAACACAAATCATAACAAAATATCTAACCGAACTTACAAAAGAAACATCATAACTAAATACATGAATTAAAATTGCATTTCATTTACTTTTCGTCAATGTAAGGAATTTTTTTTAATTTTCTTTTAACATTACAAATATTCTATTTACGCAGAGAAATTGGAGCCATTTATAATAAGGAGTTCCTAAGTTATTTTTATTGAAATGAGAAAAGGAAGAAAAAGATAGCAAATACTCTTTACACATTTAGTGACATACATTTATTAATTTCGTTATTTTCTGTCAGTTTTATCAACATTTCATAATTGTTAATTCATGAAGCCATAAATATGGAACATAAATGTCTGTAGCATGACAGAGTTTTGTACCTTCATTAATAGGATAATTCCATGTTTAGTATTACTAGTCTTATTATCTGATATTTGAAATACGTTAGGGATTTATAATTCAAGTCTTATTACAGGCTCGTCATATTCCTGCATCTGATTCTGAGGCTCCACTTAAGAAGAGTTCAACAAATCAATTAGACTCCACCAGTAGTACCAATATCCTTGATAAGTCAAATGGAGATCTAAACACCTTTGATAAGTCAAACGGAGAAATCAATTGTACGTTTGAAGATGAAAATGACAAACCAAACAATAAAACAAATGGTGCCAATAACATACCACCGTCATACGATGAAGTTTTAGAAAGTGATACTAGACCTGCAGTGGCAGTCAATGATACAGAACACATAACTAAGCTTTGAAAACTTTGAAGTGTCTCACCCATGTTATTCTAAAAATTTTAAATTTTGTTTTCACTATATATAATGAAATACATAATTTGTTTTTAAATATGAACATTTTTAAATATGTATATATGTTTTTTGGACGTAATGCAAACAACTATCACGCAATCCTCTATTATGTGTTCCTGTACAAACCTTGAAAAGATAGTTTCCGTATTTATACGTCTTGGTAATTACCCCTTGTTTACTTTTTTTTATTTCAATGGTACTTGTAAAAGAAAGATACAAAAATATTGGAGTAAAATAAATAGGGTACACGGACAATCTTTAACTGCTTTATTCATATATGCATTCGCTTTAAGAGTATTTACATGACTTTAATGAAATTACGGGCGTGTATTTGATTATTATGTAGTCAAAATTGCCATTATCAACTTATTCAGAACATGATGTAATTATTTGGAAGTATTTAGTAGTTTCATCAAGTTCAATTACAATATTCCGTTTGTCGTTAACTCAGTTGTGTTACTTTTGGACAAATTTTAATCAATTTTATGTATGTTGCTGTGAGTTGTTGTATAACAGTTTGATTGTTTCATTGAGGTACATTGTAGGACGTTGTTGTTTACACTTTAAATACATATATATTTGCTGATTGCAGAAATAGTCGCGCAAGCGGCAAAAACAGTAAAAAAAAAAGGTTAAATTAAGGCGATAGTAGTTTACCGATGTTCAAAAACGTGCAAAAATTGTTAAAAAGTACGGGAAAAAATTTAAAGTGCACTTTTGTAACCGAAAGATTACACACCACATAACTTATGCCATTTTATATCAGTCTAAATGTCATGCACGCGTACATTCTAGTTGTTACGTGAGAAAACTCAATGCTATCTTTTTTCTTAAGTGTATTTCAAGAAATAAAATCAATTTCATAAAAAAAGAACGAGCCTAACAGTGACTAGGTTTGACCCAAGCCCTGATAAAAATAAAATGAAACATGATGCGAGAAATATAAAATTAAAATATACTAACAAATTTTTATGGCTTCATTAGTTGCGCGATAAGTCTCAAGACAGTGTCATTGAAATCCTTCCACGTATTTAGAAGCCGTTGTGAACGGACGAACAAACTGACAGAATGCTCGTTGCTAATTCTGATTTTTGATTTCATTTTCAATATTGCTAATTCTAGTACTTGCATATGGTGAATATATATCTATCAGATGATACTTGAATATCCTATTATTATTTCCTTGATATATAGGGTTGCTGCTTACATGAAAGCTCCATGGTAAATCAATACTTCTAAATTGTTAATTTGAAGTCACATCTTTGAAACGCCATCGCGACTCGGTTTTCTGTTTCGGAATATCGATCTATGTCATAGATTACCCTACATATATGTTCCTTTAGTCGGAGCCCAAATCCAACCTTCCTTTCCTGCACTATAAATTATCATTCAGTATTAACTTATCGCCAGAGGTAAGCTTGATATTAAATATTATCACTGGTGTCAATAGTGTAGCAGAAGCTGTCTGTTCATGCGGGAGAACCAGAGTTAACACTGAGTATTTACTTTTTATACTTTTAATTCTTTTTACTATGTTTTTATATCTCTTTCTTTGACATGAATTTTATATTGTCCCCTTGGTTTGGGAAATCTCAGCTGTATGATTATACTATGTTAAAATTTGTGAATGTATTATATTGTAAATCTTGATGAATTAAGCATCTTTTTTTTTACTATGTTTCGATCGTCTTCTCTTTTTCAATAAAAACATGTAATTTACAGCGTCTTGATTGGTTTAAACATTATTTTACAGCGACTTGATTGGTTTAAATTCTGCATAATGATGGAAACAAACTACCAGTGACATACACAATAGACAAACACAAATACTGTTATACTGTATGACGGTCTGGATTGGGTTTACCGAATAGAGAATAATGGGCAAAAAATGCAGAATAAAGGGCAATAAAAATAAAGAATAGAGAAGAATAGGCCAAAACATTCGAATAGAGAATAATGGGGTGTTAAAATATAAAGAATAGAGAATAATGGGGTGTTATAATATAAAGAATAGAGAACAATGGGGTGTTAAAATATAAAGAATAGAGAATAATGGGGTGTTATAATATAAAGAATAGAGAATAATGGGGTGTTAAAATATAAAGAATAGAGAAAAAATACCTAAAATATTAAAGATTACAGAAATAACAGAAATAAAGGACCCTCATCCAGACCCTCCTGTATCTTAGCAATTGTATTCACTTGCCAGTGTGGGTTATCTTTCTGGATCGACCTTCACCACGACCATGCATAGCCAAATGTTTAGACCGCCTGCAGTTGGTAGCAGATAGAAGGCAGACATCAGGCTGTTGTTTTTTCTCTTTTGAATTGTTTCACCCTTTGTTTTTCCGTGGCCTTCTAAAGCTTATTAAAAGGGAAGGTTTTTTAATAAAAGGCCTTACGGTGACATATAGTTACCTACATCTACTACGTTTGAAATCTGGTGTATAGTTCGAGTGTATAGGCTAGTGACAAGTATAAACCTAACATGAGATGAGAATGTAAAAGGTCACTGAAAGTTTCACCTTTTAAAACCCCGAATCTGCCACAATAGAAATGTCAATCCTTTCTAGAAAACACGATGAGGTGGTGTACAAAAGAAAATAGTAAACTTGATATAAAAAATGTCTTTCATGATGAGCTTAACTGTTTTGCACATTTCCAGCTTCAGACTGCATTAAGTATAGGTTTTTCCCTGTACAATACTCTTTTACATGTTTAATATCCATCGATATTTGTCCGAAATTTATGTTTTTGAAGATATTTATGTAGGAATAGTCAATAACACATAACATAACTGGCATAATCTTGATTAATATAATGTCATTGGCTGAAACAGTGTTGTTACTAAACTGAAGCATGACAAAAACAGTTCATATACTAGTTATAAAAGAGAGGCGAAAACTACCAAAGGGACATTCGAACTCATAAGTCGAAAATAAACTGACAATGCCATGACAAAAAAAAAACGATAAAAAACCAAAAGACAAACAACAGTATACAAAACACAACAATGTGAACTAAGGCTGAGCAACATGAACACCTCCAAAAAGGGCAGAGAGGGAGGGGGGTCGCAGGTGCTCCGGAAAGGGAAAGCAGATCCTGTTCCATATGTGGCACCCGTCGTGTTAACATAAGATAAAGCATAGAAATAAGGAAAAACACCTCAAGCACTAAGATGCATTTTCCTTTATTCATGCATTATAATACCATAGAAAAATAATATATTAAAGAAACATATCGTTCATTGAGGTTCCTTACCTTTCATTATATATTGCTGGAAGATCTTCAATGATTCGGAAAGCTCAAACTGAACAGAAAGATCAAGACAACTTCTACCGCCAACTTCAAAATATCTTTCTGAATCTCTTGTATTAAAATGTACGTATTGTAAGAAGAAAGAATTTCTGCATAGCTATTTAAGCACTTTGAATTTGCTTTACACCAACTATTGTGTCATCATTCTTTAATACGGTTTTATTTTTAAAAAAAAATCAATTGTGCTTTTGTTTTCTGTAATGCCGATTTTATAAAGTTGAAGACTATTTCTAGATTAACTGTTGTATGTTTTCGTGAATATGTACCTCCTATTAATGTCGATTTTATCGAGTTGATGCCTGTTTCTTGTTATTGTGTACCTTCTGCTAATCCAGTGCTTGAGATAATAAGGTGTGTTAAAAGTGCTGAAAGATCTTTTTAACTGCATCATATGTTGACTCTTTATTTCAAAGTTTAAATCTACATTGACTTTCTTTATTGATCGTGATCAGAATCCAAATAACGTATAAATTAGCAACTATAGGTCACCGTATGTTTTTCAACGATGATCAAAACCCCATCAACATGGCAAGCTATAAAAGGCGCCAAGATGACAATTTAATACAAATTCATACGTGAAAACTTACGGAATCGTATTAGGGCCATCCTTTTTTATTAATTTTTCTCAAATTGTCGACTTTAATCTTGGAATTATCAACTTATATCTTGGAATTTCAAGCTTTAATCTTGGAATTATCAACTTTAATCTTGGAATTATCAACTTTAATCTTGGAATTTCAAACTTTAATCTTGGAATTATCAACTTTAATCTAGGAATTATCAACATTAAACTTGGAAATTCCAACTTTTATATTGATAATTCCAAGATTAAAGTTGATAATTCCAAGATCAATTTTTGATAATTCTAAGATTTAAGTTGGAAATTCCAAGATTAAAGTTGATAAATCCAAGATTAATGTTGATAATTCCAAGATTAAGGTGAGGGGGTAAATTCGAATTGTTTTGGTAGTGGTGTGCTATGTTTGTCTAAAACAATGTACCCATTTTTATATAATATTAACTTATATTTGGTACCTTTATTTATATATAAAAATTGTGACCCGCCATGACATTTCCAGGCTTATGGAGGTAGAACGTCATTTTTAGAAAAATTATAAACATGATAAATATCGAGATTCAATGGAATACGTATGTGTGAAGAAGAGATGAACACTTTCCTTGGCTTCTTTTTTTGCGGACGCCGAACAATACATCATATATAAGTTTTGAAGATTTTTACTTTATCGTTTGAAGTAAAAAATATTTGAATCTACATTTTAAATTGATACAAAAAAAAAATCAAAATTCTCTGTTCTATAGATTTTTATTCATATATGGAGTCTGAAAATTTTCCATAATAAATGCACCGTATCAAATGCATATAAGAGAACACCTACTTATAAACTGTTACGCGTCGCATACTATGTATAGAGACATGCATAATAAATCTAAATTAAAAGACAAATTTAAAGAAAGGAATTCTTAAGACTTACTTTCACAAATTTTAAACTAACTTCATTTCAACAAGTTTAAAGTACATGTTCTAAAATAGAGCTTCAAAAAAATCAAAATTCTCTGCTCTATAGATTTTCTTTCATAAATGGAGTCTGAAATATATCCATAATAAATGCACCGTATCAAATCATATATGAGAACACCTACTTATAAACTGTTAATCGTCGCATACTATGTATAGAGACGTGCATGATAAATCTAAATTAAAAGACAATTTAAAAAAAGGAATTCTTATAGCTTACTTTGACAAATTTTAAACTAACTTCATTTCAACAAGTTTAAATTGCATGTTCTAAAATAGAGCTAAGAATTGTTTGTATTGTAGTAAATTTATTTCTTTGAACTTTTATTCAAATACGCTATTAAACATTACTAAGCGCCAATAAATTCAATGATTTTGTATTTTATAAATTAGTGCCTTCACTAAATAAAAGTCGTCATAGAACAGTCTCATTTTCATGCCGGTATTCGAAATGACTCGTTTCGTTGCTATTACAACAAATATGTCGTAATAACATGACAGAGAGTTTTGTTTCGGAATATTCTAGATAAATATACAAAAAGCGAATTTTAGACAATGTACCCTCTATAGCCTGGAAGTGGCTAGTCACGTATAGTTAACGGCGTTTTTCTCACAATGACGTTCTACCTCCACAAGTCTGGATATGTCGTGGCTAGTCACATATGTAAATATATACAAAGAATGACCTTTACTTGTGTACAATATTTTTTTGAAAATATAAAGTCCCTGATTGATTCAAATACCACAATTGGCCATTAATATAAGATTTCCATAACATATTTATAAAAGATATGTAGAGCATACCCCAAATCAATATAAAATTATGAAAGAACTATGCATATCAATATAGAATGTCATTAAAAAGTAGCGTCATAAATATAAAATCTCGCAAAATTATGGACAATATTTTTGGCATATCCACGTATACCCATTATTAGGAAGTTACAGCCCCCCTTTCATGGATATTAGACTACTTGAAACTATACAAGACTTTAGATACACATCTATTTTTCTGTAACATTTTACAAAATGTAGCCGAGAAAATAATTAAAATTAGATTAAGTATACGGAGAAACACAATAAACTATGGACTAGAAGTAAAATATCAGTCATTTTTAAGATTAAAGTTGATAATTCCAAGATTAAGTTGGAATTTCCTAGTTTAATGTTGATAATTCCAAGATTTAAGTCGGAAATTCCGAGATTTAAGTTGGAAATTCCAAGATAAAAGTTGATAATTCCAAGATTTAAGTTGGAAATTCCAAGATTAAAGTTGATAATTCCAAGATTAATGTTGATAATTACAAGTTTAATTTAGATTTATTATGCATGTCTCTATACATAGTATGCGACGCGTAACAGTTTATAAGTAGGTGTTCTCTTATATGCATTTGATACGGTGCATTTATTATGGATAAATTTCAGACTCCGTATATGAAAGAAAATCTATAGAACAGAGAGTTTTGATTTTTTTTTTTGTATCAATTTAAAATGTAGATTCAAATATTTTTTACTTCAAACGATAAAGTAAAACTTCTTCAAAATTTATATATGATGTATTGTTCGGCGTCCGCAAAAAAGAAGCCAAGGAAAGTGTTTATCTCTTCTTCATAAATACGTATTCCATTGAATCTCGATATTTATCATGTTTATAATTTTTCTAAAAATGACGTTCTACCTCCATAAGCCTGGAAATGTCATGGCGGGTCAAAATTTTTATATATAAATAAAGGTACCAAATATTAGTTAATATAATATAAAAATGGGTACATTGTTTTAGACAAACATAGCACACCACTACCAAAAATATTCGAAGTTACCCCCTCCCCTTAATCTTGGAATTATCAACATTAATCTTGGATTG